TTGGGCGTGCAGGTTTTATCACTTGCTTTTGTCCTTGCGTTACGTTCGGACAGACTTCTGAGATAGTGAATAGAGGTTACAAATGTAAGCCTTCAGCTTTGATTTTGCATGACTTTTTATGTTAATTAATTAATTTGTGATTATATGATTTTTTATGTTCAATAATTAATTTTTGATGGCGTAAATTACATAATTATAGGCACCATAACATTGAAAAGGTTACTGGACTCAAATGAATAGGAACCGAGTGACTGAGTCATCAGTTGTATATATTTCTCTCTTTCTCCTAATTGATCTTGTACATCTTAAAGTTTTATTTCGTTCAACTCATAAGAATATTTTATAACTAATATTTAATAATTAATATTTAATAGTTTGTATATCCTACATATAAAAATATTTTTTTAACACCTTAATTAACTGTTTAAGGAAGAATAATCATAGACTAAAAATCTTATCTTTATTTTATTTTATTTTTATTTTTGAATATCGAGGAAAGTACGTTTTTGAAATTTGGAATATAGAGAGATATAATCTTTGGTTAGTTTTTGAGTTTTGCCAACTGAAATGGGTTATTTTACTTCGAAGCTTGTTCCTCAAGGGGTTTCTTGTATGGGGTGTTGGCATTGACTGGGTTTGCCTGCTTTTACTCGTGTTTTTACCGCTCCAAATTGAGGGCTCAATACGACCTACCGGAGGAACCGTGTGCAGATTGCATGGTGCACTTCTGCTGCCCAGGATGTGCTCTGTGTCAAGAGTACAGAGAGCTTAGGAATCGTGGATTCGACATGAGTATAGGTATGGTATAATTCCCACAGCACCTGGTTTTTCTTTTCCTTTTTCAACGGACCTTTCTTTTCATATATACAAGCTAACAACAATTAAGTACAAATACAAAATTTAGAAAAAAAGAAACACACCATCAGCGACAGTAGAACTTACAACATGGAGATTCAATTCACAAAATCTTATAGTTTGGTAGTACTTGAAATGTAAATATTATTTTTTGGTACACTTGTAGTCTTGTGTTTTCAAAAATACAGAATAGTAGAATAGTATGAGAACGTCTTAGTGACTTAATAGATATCATCCTCTTATTAGGGACTTCTCATATAAATTTAGAGATATAAGATTTGAATTTTACTTTTAATGTTCAAGAAAAAAATACAAAATAGTATTTTATAGTTTCAATTGAGTTAAATTGCATAATTAAAATTATTAGATGAGAAGCAGATTTTTTAATATTAAGGATTATCTATCATTTAATAATTCTTATTTTGTAACCTAAATTACAAAATAGTAACTCAAAATATAGGCACCTTTGTATATCTAAAATGAAAGCCACTCCCATTTTACTACTTTTAAGGGCATATTTAGTTGAGAGAAATTTTCTTTTTGAAACTTTCTCTTGTATGTTTATTTATATATTTTTACATCTCAATACTATCATGAAAGAACAAGTAAACTTTTTTTATTTCACAATTTTTGAATAATTTTTTTTCCAACCTTTCTTATGTGAAATTTACTTTCATAAAAGCTTTCCATATATTAATTTTTTACTTAATACAAAAAAAAATTAACATTCTAATAAAATTTTAACAAAATTTTATTTTAAAATTTATCAATTTTTTATACGATATTTTTGAAATTTTTTTTTATAATAGTTCCTCGATCATTTAAAAAAATTCCCAATAAAATTGATTCCTAATCAAATATCCCTGAACCTTAGATATTTTAGGTCTTTTCCTTGACTCTAACTATCATGAAAGTCTGGAAATTGATAATAATAGATGTTCTGGTCCGTTCCGCGTTAGCTACTTTGATTTGTACTAAATGTAATTTTTCTAAATAGTTTTGCATTGACTGGTTCTTTTTATTTATTTTGATTTTGATTGATGTAGGATGGGAAGCTAACATGGACAGACAAAAGCGAGGAATAACTCTGGCTCCAGCGGTCGTCCCAGCAATGTCAAGATGATCAGATACATGTCATTTTCAACCATCTCATTCCTGCCACGCCTCTGCTACTTCCGTTTCTCTGCTTGGAAATTTCATTTTCCTTTCTTTGATTTCTAATTTCCTATAATGTTGTACGCTGTTTTTTTTTTTTTTTTTTTTACCAGTAGAAAATTGAGAGATGAGGAAATAATTACAATATTGTTACACTGACAGCTTGAACCCTTAACAAAGAAGCCAAGGAGTAAGGTGCACTTCCATCGCGACTAAGCCTGCAAGTGCATGTTGTACGCTGTTATGTATTCTACTATTTCCGATACAGGATTTCTGTGCAGTGATCCGTAATCAATAAGCTCCAAAGCAGTTCCTCCCGGCTTTTTTTTTTTTTGCACAGCAAAGGAATTTATTAAGTAATAAAGGGAGTACAAGGGGTACTCCAACCCGTTACACTACAAACCAGTACATAGCAAAATAGGGAGGAAAAGCATGAGGCCAATACCTGATCCTTTAGCTAAGAACAGTAGAAAAGGATCACCTTTCAGCTGTCATGGATCCACCCCTAGCCCCCGTCCTGCAGCACTATAGTTCCCTCCCCTTTTATCTTTCAAGCATTCCATAGGTTCCAACATCCAATTGCATAGATTAAAAGAGTACCCTACTGTTCTGATTTTGATCCATTGGAATGACCGCAGTTGCACCAGCTTAAAAATCCTATTGACCTCTTGCTCATGGTTTCTGAAAGCCCTTTCGTTTCTAGCAATCCATATAGACCAGATTGTTGCACACCAGACTGTATCCCATCCTGCCCTGATGTTTACATTTTTAAAGTAGGCTATTTGTTGTTCAAAGGATGCATAGCAATTGTCAGCTCTAACAGATGAAATTCTCCACCATTGAAGACATTTGGACCACACTGCATATGCAAACTTGCAATGAAGAAATAGATGATTTATATCTTCAATATTCTCCTTGCATAACATGCATGTAGCTAGATTGAGATCTGGGATAATCCCTCTCTTGTACAGATTTACCTTGGAGGGTATTCTATCTTGTAGGACTTTCCAAACAAAGGCACATATTTTTGTGGGAACTAACCTGCACCAAATTCTTTTATGCAAGTTGTTCCTACTTTGTTGGTGGCTGCTGGAGAGAACTTGATATCCTGATTTAGCTGAATAAATACCCTGATCATGCCTCCACTCCCATCGATCTTTTTGTCCCTTAATTGGTTGGATAGTCTGCAACATCCTCCGCAGCTCCGCCATCGAGTGTTTTTCCCAGGAAAAGTTAGGCCTCCTCCATTCTAAAGACCAACTCCAACTTCCATTGCTCCAGAATCCCATTTGAGAAATGCTCTTTGCCCTGCCTAAAGAATTCAAAAGGAGTCTGGGAAATTTATTAGCCAATGACTCGTCCCCAATCCAGACATCCTCCCAAAATTTGACAGAATTACCCTCTCCCAACTTTAGTTTAAAGCCATCTAAGAGCCAGCCAACTCTATTTGTGCACGAATAATCTAATCTGCAGACATCCCTCCACCATAATGACCCCTTCTGGTTCCCTTCTTCAATCCAATTCAACCAATTACCTCCACTACTACCATATTTTCCACGAATAACCTTATATAAAAGACCTTCCTCTCCCTCTGCTAGTCTACTCCACCACTTGCCTAACAACGCTAAATTAAACTTTCTAAGATCCTTCACACCTAGCCCACCATCCAATTTACTTCTACACACATTCTCCCAACCAACCCAATTGATCTTCCTATTATTCGCTCCACCCCCCCAAAGAAAATTTCTATGAATTTTATCAAGTATAAGAATCAAACCTTTAGGCAGCAAGTGAACAGACATCGCGAACACAGGGAGACTAGACAGCACGGAGTTAAGGAGCGTGATCCTTCCACCAAGAGAGATAAATCTGTTTTTCCAACTGGCAAGTTTCTTCTTAAAGGAATCAATCATGGGTCTCCACATGGCAATACATCTGCGTTTACCCCCAATCGGCATGCCTAGGTATTTACAAGGTAAGTTCCCCTGTTTACAATTCAAAATACAAAACATCCTAGTCATCCATTCTTCCGAAACATTGATGCCCATAAGTAAACTTTTTCCAAAATTAATCTTAAGCCCTGAAACCATCTCAAAAATCCTCATAATACTTTTAACAACCCAAATATTTTCTTTTGAAGCATTACCAAACACAATTGTGTCGTTAGCAAATTGGAGATGGGTTACATTCATGCCACCCTACCCAATTTCAATCCCATTAAACAACCCCAATGACGCAGCTGATGAGATGATGCCATTAAGACCTTCAACCACAATCAAAAATAAGAAAGGGGAGAGAGGATCACCTTGTCTGAAACCTCTTTGCATCTTAAACTGCTTGGTGGTGCTGCCATTTAGTAGCACTGATACCTCTACGATCTTCAAACATTCATTAATCCAGTTTTTCCATATTTGACCAAACCCCATTCTTAGCATCATATAATCCAGAAATTCCCAGCAGACTTTATCATAAGCTTTTTCAAAGTCAGCTTTAAACACAAACCCTTTCTTCTTTCTTTTCTGGGCTTCATCAATAATCTCATTTGCAATGACCACACTGTCAACTAATAGCCTTCCACTGACAAAAGCCATCTGATTCTCCCCAATAATCCCATTCAAAACAGAAGACAACCTACGTGCTAACAATTTGACAATCAATTTGTACATGACACCAACTAGGGAAATTGGTCTGAATTCTTCAATTTTTTGTGGGCTGTTGACTTTCAGGACCAATACAATGAAGGAGCTGTTCATCCCTCTAACCAGTTTGCCATGCTTGTGAAAATCAGATACACATCTCCTTGACAAATTTGAAGTTGAATCCATTGGGTCCTGGTGCTTTCGAGCTTTCACAACTCCACACAGCTTGTCTGACTTCCTCCTCACTAAACGGTGCTTCCAACATTGCCCTCTCCTCATCTGAGATCTTCTTGAATTCGACCCCATCTAAGACTGGGCGCTGCCACACATCTTCTTTAAACAGTGTCTCAAAATAGTTAGCCACACCATCTTTCATACTGTTGACTTCTTCAAGTCGTTGATTTCCCACCAGGATACTTGATATATCATTCTTTCTTCTTCTTCCTTTCACACATCTATGAAAAAATTTTGTATTGGCATCCCCATCACTAATCCATGTCTTTCTAGCTTTTTGGCGCCACATACTTTCCTTCATCCTTTGATTTTTCCATAGTTCTAGGAAATTTGTCCTTCTGGCTTCGATATCTTCTGGCGATAGTGGCATCTCCTCACCTTTTTTTATCAATAAAGGCAATAGAATCAATGCTCTTTTGAATGCCCAAGTCAATCTCTGAGGCCATATTCTTGCTCCACTCTTTCAGCACCTTTTTAGTTTCCTTCAATTTCTCCTTCAGACGATACCCATTCCATCCATTTACTACTGTAGACTTCCAGATATCATCGACAATACCTTTAAACTGAGGTAGTTCCAGCCATGCATCAAAGAACCGAAATGGTTTTGGGCCCCAATCTGTAATTTGGTTTTTGAGAACAATTGGACAGTGATCAGAGAGTGAATGGTTTAAGCCCCATTGCTTGACATTTTCCCAATTCAGACACCATTCTTTAGAGAGCAGAAATCTATCTAGCCTACTCATCGAGGCTCCATTAGATTGGTACCAGGTGAATTTTCTGCGAATTAATGGTAAATCAACAAGGCCACATTCATTAATGAATTCGTCAAACTCTAGCATTTTTCTCCTTATACTCATCCCCCCCTTCCTTTCCTGTTGATTCCTTACTGCATTGAAATCCCCCATTAAACACCAGTTCCCACCAATTTCAGAAATAAGGTTTTTGAGAGAAGCCCATAATGCTCTTTTCCTTGGAGGGTCGCATGGGGAATAAATGTTAATGATATAAACAGGGATCCTAGCTGCCCCCCAAAATCCAAAAACCCCAATAAAATTATCCCCTTCAATAATTCTATCTTTCTTCAATAATTCAGAATTCCAAACACATATCAAGCCTCCAGCCGTACCTTTTGAGGGTTGAGCAACCCAATCAAAGTCCTCTGATCCCCAGAGAGCTCTACAGAGTTGATGATCCACCACCTTTGTTTTGGATTCTTGAATTGATAAGAACTCCACCTTCTCCCGAACCACTAATTCTCTGACCCATGTTCTCTTCCCATGACCACCCACACCTCTTATATTAATTGACATAAAGATCATTTTAAAACACCACAATTGTTTCCCCCAGTATCTGCCTCACTAGCCTTTGATCTTCTATAATTTTCTCTGTCACGTTGCTCCATGGCCTCGAGCTTTTGCAGAATTTCTTCCACATTTCCACGATCCACAACCCCAATTTCTTTGGCAAACCCCCAAATCTGCATTTCCTTGTTGATTTTACCCTTCATCCGCAAGCATTTGTTTCTGTTTTCTATGCCACTGTCTGCTATTGAGTCACCAGCAACCTGATTTTGTGAGCCTGGACAGAACGACGGAGTCTTCTCCTCCAGATCGCGGTGCTTTTTCTGTCTTCTCTGCATCTTCTCTGTCCTTGGTTGAGCCACATAACTGGAATTTTTATACACAGAAGAACATGTCCTCGTTCTCTTCTTCTTCTGCTTCTTGATTTTCCTCTCTTTTCTACCCATCCAAGCTTTCAAATGCCCTGATTCACTTTCGAATCCCTGCCAAAAGGATTTTTCTTCACTAAGATCTTCTAACCGGCTCAAGCAACCCTTGCTTCTTTGATTCACGTTATCCACCTCATCCTCGTCTGACATCAAGCTGCCCCTGCTTCTCTGATTCCCCTCATCCTTTTCGAACATCACGCTACCCCCGAATCTCGGATTCGCCTCACCCTCCACATGCATCAAGCTGCCTTTGCTTGTCCGATTCGCCTCTTCCTCCTCGGATCTCCAGCTCCCCCTGCATCTCCGATTCTCCTCATCCTCCTCGTTTATCAAGCTATCCCAATTTCTCCGATTCGCCTCATCCTCCTCATGCACCAAGCTACCCCTGCTTGTTTGCTTCGCCTCATCTTCCTCGGGTATCCAGCTGCCCCTACTTCTCCTATTCACCTCATCCTCCTCAGACATCACGCTACCCCTACTTCTCCGATCCACCTCATCCTCCTCAAGCTTATCATTCTCCGTTTGACTTATCTCCACGTCATCTTCAGCTTCAAAAGATTTATTGCCCTTATTGGGGCCCGTATAGGAGGCCCAATTCTCCTCATCTCTCAAACATGCTTGAGACTCCAGCCCGCAACCCTTGACCCACATTTCCTCAATGGCCCGGTTCGGATAGTTTGGCCCAATCAAATTGCCATTCTCACAATTTGAATTATGTCCCTGTCTCTGCATTAAATGCATGCTCAGGCTATCAGGCACACAGCCTACCTCCTCAGCCGTCTCTTCCAGCTTGCTGATAGGAAACTTTTGAGATTTCCCCATACTTTTCTCAATATACTCATAAGCCTGTATATTGGAACCATCAGCACTCATCATTCTGTCAGTATCATCTTCAAATTCAAATTTCTTTCTTCTAACCGTTATCTCCACATTATGGCTCTCCATCCAACTCTCTTCTTGCCTTCTTCCATGGTCTTCTCCCACGTCATCAACCTTAGCCATGTCATCATCATCAGCCCTACCAGCTGCACTTCTCCCATAATCCCTAGACTATCCTCCGCCATGAATAGATTCAGCAATGAAATCCTCACCATCGCTATTTAGGGACCATGATTCTGAGCTGTGATCGTTTGAAGCACTTAATTCCCTGAACACATGATCAGACTTCATGGAGAAGATGCCGTTAGTTGCCTCTTCCTCCATTACTTTGACTGAATATGGCATACCATTTACTGTGATGTTCATGGATTTAGAGATGAACTCCATAATGGGCGTGGAGATTAGAAATCTCCCGATCTCAAATCTGATCTTCTTACTGGTGCTATCATCTAAGGAAATAACCTTTCCCCATACAGCCCCAATTGTTGAGAAAAACTCAGGCCCCAGGCATGAATCGGGACGCCCTGGCATCGAATCCACACGAACCTTTCTTTAGCAACCGTTGATGGTGTCCAGGGTTTTACCTCCTCAAACCACTGCCCCAACCATTCCGGGGTTGTTTCCACTAAGTCCTTAATCTCGTCTTTGTCACCCCCTTCCAATAAGACCAAACGTCCCCCCATAGGTCTTACTTTACACGAAAAATAACCTTCCATGAAGAACTTTTGCTGCAGCGTCAGGATAATGTTAACCGAATGTGCAATTCCAACATAACACCCTTCCAGCCATAAGAGGTCCTCCTCTTTCACATTAAACTCTAGGCCAGCACTTGCACGAACATTATTTTTCATGATCCATACCTGCGTTTGTGATTTGGGCGAGTTACCCTTCTGTTGCTTATTTTGGCGATCTTTAGCACTTGAAACTTGCTGAAGATGTCTTCCTTTGTTAACTTCCAACCCATGGTTCCCTTTAACAACCTCTGCAAATGACCTCCCTGGTTTGACAAGATTCATCTCAACTGGTTTAGAATCTGCTCTGTTTCTCGCCTCCTCTTTCCTGAACCTTGGTCTGTTAACCCAGAGTTTGGACATCCCTACTCTGATTTGATCCAACTGTCGTTCCAATTCCACCTCATTCTTAACTTCTAAGAATCTTACAAACCCAAATCTTCTTCCTAATTTAGATTTCCTTGGTGGACAATAAATAGCCAAGACTCTTCCAAATTTCCGGAAGGTGAGCCACATACTTTCATGACTCCAGTCGTCCGGGAAGTTTGTGAAGAAAAATACGGTAGCTTGATTAAACACCCTTCTATCACACCCCCATATGTCTTGCTTCTTTCTTAGTTCTCTTTCCAGTGGACCATCAATCCGCCCATCTCTGTTCCTTCTTTGGTTTCCGAATGGCTCCCAACTCCGTGCTGTCCGTCGTCCGCATGCCCCGTTGCTGAACGCACTCGCTCTCTCTCTACCTCTCATCGCTCTCTAATTTTAAGATAATATTCCAAAATCAGACATCAAACTCCTTTTAGAACCGGAAGAGGATTGGCCTTTTCGCAGGCTTTGATAAGATAGTGAGGAATCAATAATCCAGTTCCTCCCGGCTTTATAACGTCAAGATGAGCTTATAAACAAAAATGAACCATATAACAAAAATTTAAAAGAATTAATACTCACCAATTCAAATAAATTTAATTTTACATTGAAGTCAAAATTTTGTAATGCTAAACAGCAAAAACTTTTATATAAAAAAATATTATAATAAACGAAAATATAAGAGAATTAACAGGACATAATTAGAACCAATTGAAACTTCACCCTAGTCTGTCAAATAAAGAACAATTTTTAAGCACAAGACCTGTTTTTCAGCAATGCCTAACATGCATAATCAAAGAAAGAATAAGTAAGCTAGCCACGCACACACACACACAAAAAAGGCAATATAACCGTGAGTTGAAAAGGAGGGGGGAGGGGAAATCATCTTCAAATGGCTCACTTCAACTTCACCCAGGTTCTATATTTTGTGAACAATATCTTAACGTTTTGAATTAAAATTTTTAGTTGAAAATTTCAAATTCAAACATTGAGATAATTAAATATTAAGGTATAAATAAAAAAGGGAAGGACTATCTCTTGTAAGTTGTAATATAACTTGTTTACATTGAGCTATCATTTATGTCTTGTTAGTTCAAGCTCTGTTCAATGTCCAGTCTTCTATTTATATAGAACTTGAAAATAAACAACAATGCAATAGAAAAAGGGGGAAAAATAATAATATAACAGAAGCGTGTTTAACCTTTACCGAATGAATTAACATCTGGGAATAATAAACTTGAAAATAAACTATTATGATTAGTCAGTGATGATTAATAAATGATTTTAATATCAATACCCTATTTTAACACAATAATGAAATTTCATTAAAATTTAGAAGTACATTTAAAACTTTTACTGATAGACTATTTTAATATCAATTAACAATGAGTCAATAGTAATAAATAAACCAAACATAAAATTTAGTGACTAAAAAAATGCCTCTAATTCTTCCATTTCATCCCTAAAATTTTAGATTTGAGTAATGATCTATGAAGACAATGAGTAAAGAGTAACCCAAGGGTAGTATTTATTGATAAACAAGTGTTGTTTTATATATTAAATTTAACATTTAAATTTTGAAGTTAGTATTCAAAGAAATTAATTTTTTTGAATGCATCGAACTAATATGAAGGATTAGCCCTTAAAATCATTTTAGAAGGGATTAATTTCAAAATATGTGAAAGTTGATTTGAAAAAACACCTTACCAATAAATTAAAAAAAAAAAAAAAGAGTAAAAAATGAGAATGAGTTACTTCTGGTGCATTACCCACAAATAGAGAAAATCACTAATTGCAATCAGTCCTAGAAATCCCTCATTTGAAAGTTGTGTTTTAATTAGTTTAATGCCTCTTGACCCAACTAAAGGCCTAAATTATTAACTTATAACCATTGCTTTTTTAATTAGAGAAAAAAGTGAATATCCAGATATTTTAAAATATTAGAATTATTTGTATTTTTGCCATTTAGCTACGCTTTTTTTTACTTACGCTCACTATTTCATAGGTATAAGGTTCTATTAGCTATGATTTATAATTTGTGGGTATATGGATAAGTTATAGCTACATCCACAAAAAAACCGTAGGAAAAATTACACTATAGCTACGCAATTTCAATTGGTGTAGGTATATAAAAAAATTATTAGTTACAGCATGTAATTCGTAGGTATATGAATTTAAGATTTACTTACAAATATAAAAAACCGTAGGTATACACAATAGATATACTTTCAATCACATATAATTATGGGTATAACACTAACTTATACCTATGATTTTTACAGTTGTAAGTATACCCTCACTACCAAAAATTAATAATAAATTAACTACTATTTAATTAATGCTTTTGACTAATGTTTCTATGTACATAAGATCAATTTTCCCTTTTTTAACAATGCGCTGGGAAAAAAAAAAACTTAGTTCAAAATTGAAAAAAAAAAGTATCAAAAGTATATGAAGTATTTGAAATCATATACTACATTTTTTCCCAAATAAAAGAAAAAAAATAACCTTATTAATAAACATATCAATTCATCAAAAAGATAAAAAAAAAAATCTTTATATAACTAAAATGATTATTATTAAAAAATGTAAAAAGTTTTCATTCTCTAGGTAGAAAAGGATTTCAATGCATAATAATTAGAGTTTTGTGATTAATTAAATATTTTTTTAAAGTTAAGAGACTAAATTACTAGAACAATAGTTCCTTTTGGATCTAAATGAATGAATCTTAAGTTATGAGATATAAAAGATGAGGGACCAAATCTGCTATTTTCCCATTGAAGGAATTGCAAAATGGGGTGGAAATCCGACACGGGTATGGTGTCGACACATTCTTCATGGTGTCAGCACCATGAAATAAGAAGAATTTATATAGATAACCTTTTCTATAATGGATAAAATTTATTATAACCACATCTAACTTTTTGAATGAATTTCAACTTGTGTTATTTGTTAAAAAAAAAGAGTAATGAATACTTTCATCTTTTCTAATTTTTTTTCTATATATAAGATCAATTTCCCAACATCAATGTGGAAAATTAACTTAGAAAATCTGTTAAAGAAAAATCGAGATTAAATTGAATTAATGCCTTTTGTACTCAATTGAGAAAAATGTAAAATGAAAGTTGTATCCTGTAGGGACCCAGTTGTGACTAGGAAGGAAGTTGAGGATCGAA